GAGGTGCCCAAGCTAGCCGGCTCCGGATCTCCCCACTGTGGCTCGTGGGTAAGTCCAGCTCCTGCACGCCTCGCCCTGAGGTCTGCTCCATTCTCGGCCACCAGCGGTGTGGAGGTTGGGGCAGCTGACCCTACCTGGATCTCAGGTGGAGAGGTCTCCTACCTGACCATCTGGGGAGAGCCCCTTGGTGGCTTCTTAGCACTTCTCAGGATTGAGGTGCTTTCTTTGGGGTCAATAAGTCTCTCCTTGGGACCACCATCCTAGGTCTTGAGATCCCTCAAGAAAAATCCATTGTGCGAACTGACCCCGTCTTCATGTTTACTCCATCTTGGGAGTTTCCCTGGCAGGGCTGGCTGGCTCTCGGGCTGTCCAGAGGTTGGATGGTGGGTTGGGGCTGCGGGTTGGTGCATCTCTGGGTCTCCCTTGGAACGAGGTATGGGAGGCTGGCGATGCGCACCACACGGCGAGCAGCAGATGGAAATGAGTGCTGAATTGCTCAGGAGGTTGTGTAGCAATCCTCCCCCTCTCCAGGCTTCTCTGGGCCAGAAGGCCTTTTCTCCTTGATTGGAAGGCCAGCCCAGGGGCAGGTAGGTTTGTCTCCCTCGACCTGGTAGAACAGCCTGGGACGGGGAAACCGGGTGGTTTTGGTGGAGGGGTTGAGCCTTTGCTCTGTGCCGGGGATCTGAAGGCTGAGTTGGGGGGGGGTTGAGGTAATTATGGACCGCAGATTAAACCGAACAGGCGTAGCTTTTCTTTACTGTTCTTGCCACGGTCTGTCTGTTGGATTATTTGTGGGTTTGAAATCCGGCTTTACCAACTGAAGAAATAAAACAGGACATTTCCTGGAGGTGGTTTGGGGCTTCAAGAGATAAAAGGTGAGGGTGCCTCCATGAAGATGTAGGATTTTTGTAAACCTTGGACAGAAGGCATATCTGTTTTTTTTTAATTTTATCCATCCTTCCTTCCTCCCCTCCCCTCCCCTCCCCTCCTCTTCTCTTCCCTTCCCTTCCCTTCCCTGCCCTTCCCTATTTATTATCCTTAATTTCTTGCCAATGCTCATTCCATTGCTCCTTTGGGGCAAGGAGAGGGGAAGGCTGATTTTGGCTGCGTTGCTGACTCCCCACTTTCCTAGAACTTAAACGCTAGAATTGTGGGATCGATCCCCGGTCTGAACTGAATGCCGTTTCCAAACTTCCCAATCCACCGGCCACAGAATGGTGGGGGGGGGGCATTTGCAAAGAGGACCTTTTAGGAGAGCTGCAGTGGTGAGATGCTTCATTTCTCCTGCCTGCCAAAGCCGTTAAATTCCTCTGTGCAGCTTTGCAGGTGGGGGGGGGGGAGTTCTGGGCTGGCTCATCCTCCTTCCTGTCAGGAGCAAAGAGCAGGTCAATTCGGCACAAGCAGCTGGTGCTGCATCACCCCTCCCTTCCTTGAAAGGGGATAATTATGGTGAGGGCCCGGTGTGAAGGAGGAGGAATCAAGGGGCTGCACAGCGGGGGAGAGGGCAGAGTCCAGCTGGGAAAATAATGTAGGCTTTCAGCTTGAGAAATGAGCCCTTTCAGCTCCCCAAAGCAGCAAGCAGAACTGGAGGCTGGATGGGGGTGCCGGTGCCGGTGCCAGCGAGAGAACGGGGGGGGGGGAGATCAGTGGCAAATCCATGAGTAGAAATGGACCCCTTTCTCCTGTTTACAACATTCTCAACCCTTCCAAGAAGGTTCTGCACCCAGTTGCACTATTCAGGTGACCCTGAGGGCACAGATAAACCCACAAGGGGCCTCAATGACTCTCAGTGGGAGTACTAACGACCAGATGACTGCAAGGAATACAAATCCTTCCACTCCCCACCATTCAATCAGAACTGAAGAAGCTTCTTGGATGAGAAGCGAAACATCTTCAAGGAAAAAGAAAGAAATTCCAGTTGCCTTGTATGGTTGACCCCCACTCTTGCTTTTCCCAAAGGCTCTAAAAATGTGGTTTTGTCAGGGGGCCTGGGGACCCCGAATGGAGATGGAACTGATCAAGTGACTGTATTCATTTAGCCCCCCCTTTCCCCCTTGTTAGTACATAAAAATAGATTTTTGACAGGCACTGTTCTTGCCCCTATCTTGATTATTTTTTGGGGGGGGTCACCCCAGTTCTCTTGGGAAACCTTCCCTTGCAAAACATCAGCCTGTCAGGACTCAGCCAGCTGGCTGTGGACAAAGTTGCTGGTTGCCTCCCTATTTGCCTGTGCCAGTCAGTTGGCACTGCCTGAATGGCGTGACGCTTTGCTGTTCTTTGTCGGGTGGAGGGCACAGATGGGCCTGCAGGTTTTAACACCATAATCAGGCAAATTGCAGCCCTTGCTTAAGTGCGACAACGGCCTGTTTTTAAAAGTGCCATTGTGAGAAAGGAGGTGGGCCCAGCAGCCTTTTAAATACCGGTTGTGGAGCAGCTTCAATTGCAGCTAGTGGCTTCCAAGAGAGCTCTCGCCTTCTCTTCGCTTTGCCCCCAGGTCCCTTTCTAGTTGGGCTTCTTTTGCCCATGATGCTGAAGCGGCTGCAGAGTCTGTTTACAGGGGCAAAATGTGGGGCAGCCCCATATATTAGGGGCACGAGGTGACTGATGAAGAGATGAAAGTGATCAAAGAAAGATAAAAGGAGAAGCTCAAGCATGAGATGACCAATTAAACCTTGATCGAATGAAGTAAGATTGATCAGATGTTCCACAAGATTGACCAAAGGGGAGATCCCACTGCAGAAAGACTTTAAGGAAGTCTTCTGACATCTAAAATGGTCTTTCCTTGGCAGCTTCTGATGGCACTCTGGGGTGGAACCCAACCTTTGGGAGTGGAGGGGTGTATAGGCAGCTACATGGCCTGAAACTGTGCACTGCATTTTGTTGTTCTTCAGACACTTATTTATGTCTGACTCTTCGTGACTTCGTGGACTATGGCACCCCAGCCCCCCCCTGTTCTCCACGGTCTCCTTGAATCTGTCCAAACTCGTGTCCACTGCGTCGATGACACCATCTAACCCTCTCCTCCTCTGCCATCCCCTTCTCCCTTTGCCAACCTCAGGGTCTTCTCCAGTGGGTCCTCTGTTCTCATTTGGTGGCCAAAGTATTTGAGTTTCAGCTTCAATATCTGTCTTTCCAAAGGACGGTCAAGGTTGATTTCCTGTAGGATTAAGAGCTGCACTCTCTACCTAAAGCAAAATGTTGGCCAACCCAGTTGTCTTCGGGGTCGATATTTTTATTCCTGTCCTTGGAGAGCTTCCCTTCTTTCCCATCCCTTGGCTTTTATGGCTCCCAAAGGCTCCCCTAGTCTTGAAGGGAGGCTGCCAGAAATAGTCTCCAGGAGCTGTCCAGGGTGCTCCAGAGTTTCTGGAGCATCTCCTCATTTCAAGCTCCATTTGATACTCTCCCTCCTGCTGCAGCTGTTCAAACCACAAACTCAGGAGGTGCCCATTTCATCTGTGACCCTTTGTAGTCTGCTCTGGAGGAGGATTTAGAAGGCACTTCTCTCTCCGCTGGAAGGAAAGGCAATCGATCCCTTGGGTTCAGGATTTGTCTCTTCAGAGGAACCGTCTTGGAAGCAGCAACATTTCCCTCTCTGCTCCCTTCTTCTCCCTCCCTAAAGGAGGATCCAGGTGAGGAGTCAATTAATTGCTCTGTGTTGTTGTTTTTTTCAGGGGCCTTCAAGCATGCTGGGCCAAAGAGGATCCTTGGTCTAGAACATGGCTTGTTCCCGGTGGCCTCCAGCCTTCCTCGAAAAGGGAGTTTGAGACCTTCATTGTCTGGATTCGGGGTCTTCAGCCTATACCTTCACAAGAACCATGGAGGTGGTGGATGTCCCGGTGGGAAACCTCATTGATTTCGACTCTGAACCGTCCACCACGGACACCTCTGAATCGGTCCCCACTGGCCCCTCAACCACCAACGGCCACGTGGTGCTGGATCGCCGGGATGTGGGCCCTGCCACCGAGGAGAGCGATGCCACCGAGTCCGCCGACAGTGAGAATGACCCGACAGACTCGCCCACCCATCCCAGCTGGAACAACCACCGGCGCTCTTCCTCCGAGTCCTACTCCTCAAACCAGAGCACGGAGTCCGCTCGGGGGGAAGCCACGGCCGAACACCGGGAGTTCATGAGCCAGTACGTGGAGAAGATCTTCACCGGTGGGTGAGTGTTGCTGGAGCACCCCTGGGACCCTGGAAAGGGGACGGAGGGCCGAGGGGACTCCTAACCTTGCAACTCCTCTCCTGCTGCAGATTCTTACCCAGGTGGTCCTCGACGTACGACCACAATTGAGCCCAGCATTTTGGTTCCTGCGTGAGACAGTTGTTAAGTGAATTTTGCCCCATTTTATGACCTTTCTTGCAATAGTCATTAAGTGAATCTTCGCAGTCGTTAATTTAGTAACACGGTTGTTCAGGGAATCTGGCTTCCTCACGGACTTTGCTTGCCAGAAGGTTGCAAAAGGAGATCACCTGACCCCGGGACATGGCGACCGTCATAAATATGAGCCAGTTGCCAAGCGCCTGAATTTTGATCACATGACAACAGGGAATGCTGCAAAGGTCGTAAGTGTGGAAAATGGTCATAAGTCTCTCAGTGCCATTGTAACTTTGAACAGTCACTAAATGAACGGTTGTAGGTTGAGGACTGCCTGCAATTGTGTTATGGGCAAACGAGGCGCCCACCTCTGATTTCCTAGCTCAGCTTGTTCCGTTTGTTTCCTAGCTTAGCTGGTCCTCTCGGGGGTCCCTGGCAACATAAACCACAGGCTCAGCGGTTTGCCCCCTTTGCCCCCCGACCACCTTGACGTTCTCCCTCTGCTCCGATCCCAATTTCTCCGTGCAGCATCAGTGCCCTTTTGTGTTCAGCTCAGTAACAACTCACACCATTCGCCTCCTCTAAAGCAGGGGTGTCCGACCGTGGCAACTTTTAAGGCTTGGGGACTTCACGGGGAAGCCCCCCCCTCCCACGCCTGGGCCCGGCATTGCCAGCCTGGAGGGCACTTTTCCTCCTGCTGGATGGAGGCGCCGCTCGGTGTCCGACCACGTGTGGCTGGCCACGTGATGCCGGCGGCCAGATCTTTGTTTTGATGACATCTGGGCGGGCAGGAGATGCGATGCCGCCTGACACGTGAAGGGAGAGGTGAACATTTCTGTGATTGTCTCGGGAAACGCCAGCAAAGGGAGCAGGAGGAGGAGAAACCCGTTTTTTATTTTTAAATAAAGTCTAAAGAGGAAAAGTACACAAGGCGGGGGATTTTCCAAAGGCAGGAAAATGGCTGGCCTCGTTTATCTCCCCCGGGCGAGGCATAGAAGGTGGTCTCTCCAAGATCCACTTCCCTCTCCCCCCCTTCAAATCTGCCAACCCTCTTTTCTCTTTCTCCTTGGGTATCTCTTAATTTAACTCCTAGTACAGGAACTCCTCAACTTAACAACAGTTCATTTAGTGACCATTTGAAGTTACAACGGTGCCGAAAAAAGGGAGTTGGGACTCTTTTTCACACTTACGACCTTTGTAGGATCCCTAGGATCACATGATCAAAATTTAGAAACTTGGCAACTGACCCATATTTATGACGGTCACAGCGTCCTCTGTGTGTGTGTGTGTGTGTGTGTGTGTATGTGGGACGTGATCCCCTTTTGCCACCTTCTGACCAGCAAAGTCCATGGGGAAACCAGATTCACTAAACAACTTAACAACTGCAGTGATTCACTGTGGCATGAAAAGTCATAAAATGGGGGCAAAATTCACTTAACAAATGTCTCACTTAGCCATAAAAAAAAAAAAAACTTGGGCTCAGCTGTGATCGTAAGAGTAGTTGGAGTCCCAAAGGTGCTTTTTTTTCTTCAAAAGGCAACTGGACTTTTTTTTCCTTTTCTTTTTTTTTCCTTGAGGAAAAAAAGTCAATTTGTCTTTTGAAGAAAAAAAGCATCTTTGGGACAACCGTGGTCTCAGTGACGGAGAATCTCCAGAGACATTTAACTCCTCGTACTTCCTGCCTGGCGATCTGGGAGCCAGTGGCAGGGCAGATATACCCTGGTTTGGATACCTTTGGTGCAGATATAAAAAAAATCCCACTGAATCTCAGCAGGCCTGCGGCATTCTGAGTCACCCGGGTCTGAATTAATGCGATTGAAGCTGAGCGATGAGGGAAGGAGGGCTGGCTCTGGCTTCCTTGCTTCCTTGAAGCCCAGTTGGGCTCTGGATGTATCCAGAACATTCTCTGTGCAACTTGCCCTTGGATGTCACCGCAAAGGGGGTTTGCCCTCCCTCTGCAGAAGCTGGGGGTGGGGGGGCAAAGACATGCATGCTTTGGAGCAAAGCTTTTAATGTGAATTGTTAAAGAATTAATTGAATCAGAAAGCCGGTAGCCCACGGCAATATTTCTCCACTCTGCACCTTAACATCCTGTCTCCATGGATAAGTCATTTAATTCCTGAATTTATTTCAAGCAACTTAAGTGAAAGTTCTGCAGTTTTAGCCAATTATTTTGGAAGCTAAACAGTTCCTGCAAGCCCACTGGAACGGGGCTATGCCTGGATGGAGAAGATTTCCGATTAGATTTTTTTGAGCCAACTAGATCCTTCTAAAGGACAACAGACGAGGGTTTAATGTACACCTTCTGTGGATAGGAATTCATTCATTTTCCTCTTTTCCGAGGTGGAAAGACCAAGGCTTGGCAGATGCCAAGGTCCAGAGTTCCTTTGCTGGAGAGGAACCTCTTCAAAATTGCTTCTGGATAGCTCCTGCGCCCATTATTATTAAAATGTACTCTGGGAATGCCACTGTCATGCCAAATTCAGGAAAAAAGACAAAGCCCCAGAGATGCTAATATTTCTGTAATAATGGCACCCATCCTATGGAACAGCCTCCTGCTGGAACAGTGTGTTTTCCTCAGCCATGTCAACTTTAAGAGGGGTGGACGTCAACTTAAAGTTGTCAGGATTGAAAAACACTGCTTTAGAAGCTCTTTTATCCACTGGTTGTGTTCCAGAATAGAGAGTTGTTTGGAGGATATTTAATACTCCTATGCCTATGAGGCATGCTTACTGTTGGCTCCATTGTCACTGATTTAGCTTATTTTTATATGCCACCTTACTATAACTGCGGATGTTTTAATTTTCTGGATTTATCGCATGCGCTGCAAGCTGCCGGGAGCCCTTGGAACTAAATCAGCATATAATAAATAAAATTTATTTAAGACAGGAGCTCTCTTGTTGTAGCTGTTTTTTTTTTTAAGCTCGTGGAATTGCGGCTGAGGATAAATAACCACAGTCAACTTCCTATCTGTTTGGGTGCCTTTGGGAAACCTGTTTATTTACCTTGGCAGGAGTTGCGCAACGTTGTCTTTGCCGAGAGTCAATAGAAAAGGGCAGGTCGTGTGGTTTCTGAGGACAGAGGTTTACCTGAAGGCATCCGGGTGTTTTAAGGAAAGGATGAATGAAACTTTGCAGGCCTTCAAAACTTGGGATATAACCATACTGGGAGAGGGTCTTTTGCAGAGAAACCTTCATTGTTGGTCTGTTGGAATTCCCTCTGCTTCAAAAGCCTAAATAAAACTCATTGACAAGCTCCCTCCCTTCTGCCTGGGGGCCTGGGGCTTCAGAGCAGGGGCTTCAGGTCAGGGGTGCTTGATAGATTAATATCAGACCCCCAGCTTCTCCCCTGCCCATCCTACTCTCTCCCTCCCTCCCCATCATTTAGCTATTGTATTTTGCATTATAGTATTGCGGTATTTTATTTACATAATTTTATCTTTTTAGTATTGTAAGCCGCCCAAAGTTACCCTGTGGTAAGATGGGTGGCCAATAAATTTGATAAATAGATTAAACCAATAAATTCCATCCCCATGGAGATTAGACTGGCCCCCAGTTGGACACTCTTTCTCAAGGCCCCGAAGACCCAGTTTTGCTGGGCCTGGGATACCCAGAGTAGGATGGAGCCCATCAAGTGACTTATCTGATTGATGATTGTCCCTGGGGGGGGGGCGTTGTATTGTTTTTTATTATTTGTGCATTCAGCTTTTATTTTTGTAAGCCATCCAGAGTTATGGAGGGTGAGTGGGCAGCCATATAAATTTAGAAAGAAAGAAAGAAAGAAAGAAAGAAAGAAAGAAAGAAAGAAAGAAAGAAAGAAAGAAAGAAAGAAAGAAAGAAAGAAAGATATGGTAGATCGGCATAGATAGGCAGGCAGGAGGGAGGGAGGGGCTGGGCTGCTGTCTAGAAGTAGATATTTCTATTTATAGGCGTGCAAGATGTGATTGTGATTTTGTGTGTGTCTGGGTTTGTGATTTCAGAGAGGAGTTTGACCAAGAGGAGCAAGCCAGATTTGGGGAGCTGTGCAGCGGCGAGAACACAAAAGGCAGGGAGTGGTTCGCCAGATACGTCAGCGCCCAGGTAAGGAAGCATTTAGGATCAAACAGCTTTGCGAAATCTGGAATCCCGTCGATCTCCGGGAACGCGCCTGGCTTGCCAGTGGCAGGCCCCATGCAGTTCCAGCCTGCTTCAGAGCTTCTTTTAGGATTGTTAAGAATCCCTGTGAACCTCCGTGGAAAAGTACACTCTACCTTCTTGGTGTACCTTGATTAAAAACCACTTGGGGGAAAGCGATTTGCACCCTGTCTGAGTTCCTTCTTCAACTTCTTCTAACTCAGCTTATGACTACAATAGGGAGCAGAAAGTTTGTCATTAAGCGGTGCAGTTGTTAAGTGAGACCTCATGATCACAATTTGTGACCTTCCCTGCCAGCTTCCCCACTCAGTTTGCTTCTGGGAAGCCGGCTGCGAAGGATGCAAACGGCGATCAGATAGCCGTGGGATGCCGCAACCATCTTAATTGTGTGACGGTTGCCAAGCCCTTGAATCACAATTGCGTGACCACAGGGGAGCTACGGCGGTCATAAATTTGAGGACCAGTCAGAAGCCACCTTTTTTCAATTTCTTTCTAACTTCAAACCTTTGCTAAATGAACAGCCATTAAGCAAGGACTACGTGGCGTAGGAAGGTACAAGCAAATGCACACATCACAGCTGTACAAACGCCGTCGGCAGCCCCAGGGGTGCCAGAAAGATGGCAGACGCTATCTGAGCGGTCTCGGGCCGCTCCCCAGATGCAGAAGTCGCACCCTCACTCTGCCTGTTGTCGGTTCCTTCACAGCGCTGCAATTCCAAGTGTGTCTCGGAGCAGACTTTCTACCGCCTGGTGCAGTCCTTTGCCGTTGTGCTCTTTGAGTGAGTAGACTGTGTGTGTGTTTGTGGAAGAGTTGCCAGTTGCTTGGAAACCTGGCCTGGCCCAGGCTGTCCTGTGGGGTTCCTGGTGGGCAGGTCAGGGGTCCTGTTTGAGTTGGTTTTCTCTCTGGCCCCCAGCCTTGCCCAAACCTTCAAGGCTTGGCAGATCCTGAGCTGGGGCCGTCTTCGTTGTCTCCCCCCCCCTCTTTTCACCAAAGTTTCTCTTTGGCTTTGTAGATGCTACCAGATGGATGACTTCAGCCCTGCTAAAAACCTGATGACCATGTGCTTCACTTACTACTACATTGGTAAGGGCCGCAAAAGCCAAATCCAGAGGGGTGGCTTGTCTCCAGCAGGAGCCGTGGGTCTTCCAAGAAGTATTTTATTTTATTTTTTAAAAATGGAATGTTTTCTGTCTCTCTTCATTTCTAGACTGTCATGTGGACTAGTAACTTAGCTTGTTTTGTCTATAGAGATTCTCCGTCATCCAGGTCATGGTTGTCCCAAAGGTGCTTTTTCAGGAGGCAACTGGACTTTCTTCTTTTTTCTTTGAAGACGTTTCGCTTCTCATCCAAGAAGCTTCTTCAGCTCTGACTGGATGGTGGGGAACGGAAGGATTTATACTCCTTGCAGGCAGCTGGTCATTTGCCTTCTTTTGGCTTGTTTTAAAAAGAAAAGAAGTGGGTCTCTTTAGGGCAGGGGTCTTCAAACATGGCCCTTTTATGACTTGTGGACTTCAACTCCCAGAATTCCTCAGCCAGGCATGCGTTTGAAGACCCCTGCTTTAGGGGATTGGAGATGGGTTACCCCCTATTTTGACTGGGGAATTCTGGGAGTTGAAGTTCACATGTCATAAAAGGCGCCAAATTTGAGAAACACCGGATTAAACTCTTTTTCTTTCCCCCTTGGCGTTCTTGTCTTTGTACAGGCAAGCCCCAAATTCTCCCCCCGGAGTGCAAAGAGAAGGCCGCGGGAAGCATCGACTCCTACCTGAAGTCTGCCAACAGCTGGCTTGCTGAGAAGAAGGACATCGCGGAACGGCTGCTGAAAAACACCTCGGCCAAGACGGAGAACATGAAGGGGTTTTTCGGCAGCTTTGAAAGCAAGCTGAGGGGTCCCGGCGGGGCCAGGAAGAGCGAGTGAGTCCCCGTCTCTTGTCTTCCGTGGCTGGAGAGAGAGAGAAGATTTAGAGCAGACCCCAAAGGATGCCCCTGCTTTGTAAATGGAGGGGGGGCTTTTTAGAAGAATAGAATAGAATTCTTTATTGGCCAGGTGTGGTTGGACACACAAGGAATTTCTCTCCGGTGCAGAAACTCTCAGTGTACCTACAAGCAACAAATAATAAATCATGATCATAATCAACATAAAATACATTCAACATAATCATAAGATGGAACACTCAGGGAGAGTCATAGAATTCTAGATAAGCAAACAACATAAATCATACTAGGATACTAAATAAAACAATATAAATTGTAAAGTACAAGCAACAAAGCTATAGTCCTAAGAAGATCAAGAGATAGGTAATAGGAAAGACGAGGAGAATAATAGCAATGCAGCCTTACTAGCTAGTTTGACAGTGTTGTAGGAATTAGTTGTTTAGCAGAGTGACGGCATGGGGGGAAAAACTGTCCTCGTGTCTGGTTGTTCTGCACAAATGGGGTCTCCTCTGAGATTCCCAAAGGCAGGAATAAAATGGGGGGTGTGTGGAACTAGCAGGAAAGTGGATTTGGCTGAGGGTCAGTGACACGTCGTAATGCTGGATGCTGCTTGGCTGTGGCACCGACTGCATAGAAGCCGCTGATGGGATTGGTGGGATTGAAGCCAAGGATGGGAGGCCTTCAACCAAGGATGCCCGGGCTGAGCCTTCCTGGCAGAGGGACGGTTACCACCACTGCTGGGCTGAATCCCACCTCTGCTCTTCTTCCAGGGATGGTGAAGAGAAGCCCAGGGACAGAATGCAGAAATCAGGTAAGCAGGTCCACCCAGAAAGTTGGGGGTCCTTGGTGGAAGCTCCAGACCTCTCAAGCAGGGCAGTGAAGGCGGAGGGGAGGGGTCTGCCCCCTCTAAAGCCCCATGCTCTGAATGTCCCTTTCTGTGCAGTTTCCCTGTACAGTCCTGAGGAGGAAGAAGAAAGAAACGGGGAGAAGATCTACCTGTACATGCACCTCAAGCAGCAGCCCATCTGGTAAGGACCGAGAAGGTGACCTTCTCAGTCTCCACGGAAGGACGGCCGTGGCCCTCGGAGCAGCTCAGCCCAGGGCCCTTCCAGCCACCCAGAACCCGGCTGTCGTTGGCCTCCATGCTCCAGCTTCCTTTTATTTATTAAATTTATATGTCGCCCATCTCACCATCCAGCATCTTCATCCCGGTTTTGCAGGCACACCCTGAGGTTCTGGAACGCGGCTTTCTTCGACGCCGTCCACTGCGAGAGGCGGAAGCGGTCTCCCACCACCAGGTAGGCAGCCCTGGGGTCCCCCTCTGGGTCTGGAGGGGGGGCGAGGGGAGGAAAGGTTGGCTGGAGAGAAAGTTTCCCCTCTTTCCCTGGCCCCTTGTCCCCCCCCCCCCGTCAAGATGGCTCCTTCTGTTCGTTTGAGGGCGAGCTGCTCTCAGATGCTCCTCTTCGGATTAGGAGGCGTTTGGTCCTCACGGAGCAAGCTCCCCTCCCTGCCAACGCTCAAAAGAAGGGGGAGATTGGTGGGAAGGACCTTCACCCTTGTAGGGTCTTGTGGGAGGGTTGAAAAAACTAATTCTCTCTCTCTCTCTCTCTCTTTTTCTCTCTCTCAACATCTGTAATCCTGTTCTTTTTTTCCCCCTTGGTTCCTTTCCTCCATCCTTTCCTTTCTTCCATCCATCCTTCTTGCATGCATTGCCATGTGACTTCTCTTGGCCCTTCCTGCTGCCACTCCAGAGGGGACACTGGGGAGGAAGAGGAGAAGAGGTGTGTCTGTCCACCTTTACTTTCTTCCCTTTCCTGTTTTTTTTCTTTCCCTAAATGGTTACGCCAGTCCAAAAATTTTCCTCCTGCCAGCAGGGAGGAGAAATCCTGCTGCCGGCCACAGCTAGACGAGAGGGGCTTGTTCGCTTGTGGAATCCTTGTCTGCTGGAATTTGCTTTTCTTTGGCCTGGTGGGGCTGCCTGTTTCATCCCAGTGGGCAGCCCTCTCCCTAGGACCGAGCCTGTCCTGCGGGCCTCTCAAATGGACATCTCCAGCCTCATGACTCGCTTTGGAAGGCTGCAGTGCAAAAGACATAGGATTAAAGCGAAAGAAAATTTGCAAGCGAATCCGATGGGCAGCAAGGCCTTCCTTAAACTACCTTTGGATTGTTTTTTAAGCATAGGAACCCATCTCTGCTCCCCTGCCAGAGGTGGTGGATCGCAGATTGTTTAAAAAAAATATCGGCTGAGTAGTGTTCATAGTCCTGCGAATTTGCATTCAACATTTCCATCCCCCTAAGACGCCGTAGTTTAGGAATCATGTTCAGGTTAATTCGGTTTTGGCATTTTTGGGTCTCGGCAACGGGTAAGTTTTTGGAAAGTGGCTGCTGCTTTGAGTCTGTAAGAAGTTCTAAAGTTCCAGTGTTTTGTTTTCGTTTCCCCTTCTCTTCCTTCCTTTGGTGACCGCTGTCTGGCTGGCATATTCTGTCTCCCTCCCCTTCCATTCCTCTGTTAACTGTCTGGACTTTAAACATCTCCTCTTCTGAGTAAGTTCTCTCTTGCCCCATGGCGATACCGTGCGCTTCCCCCCCCCCTTAACTGGTGTTTCATCCTGCCTGCACCCAAGGCTGGCTTGCTCGTCTTCCTAGAGCAGGTGATGGTGAACCTAGGATGTGGGTGGGCCGCCATGCCCCTTTGGGCGACACATCAAGCCTCTGGACCCCTCTGGAAGTCGTGGAAGAGGGTCCTGCTCTTGGGCAACTCTGGAGTCTCCCACAAAGTGTGAATGTTCTCACACAATTTTTGGAACCCCCGGAGACCCTGTGAGAACCGAGCACTCTTGTGTGATCTCCAGAGGATCTGGAGAGGAGGTCTGGAGAGACCTCGTTTGTCTGTGTATACGTGTGTGCGTGTGTGTAAAACACACCAGCAGAGTATGAATTTTTACCCACAGAATGCAAAAGGTTCGCCATCCCTGTCCTGGGGGGGGGTTCATTGCACGCCCTCCTGTTACACAAATCGGGACCAGGATCTGAAGCCTTGAACTGCCGAGCCCCTCTCTGCTCTGGTCTTCTTCTGGCCAAAGCAGGAGAAATTGCCCACAGCCTCACTCTCCAGCAAAGCTCCCTTCTCTGTAAGACCAGATCATCTCCAAGGAAGGGGCGTGCAAAAGCTTTTTAATTTCAAATCATTCCAAGCTTGAAAAATTGCTCACAAGATCCGTTGCATTTAAAGTTGAAGGAAGGCGTCTGGTGAACTTAAAACCCTTGTTTTGAACTTGCAACCACTGCTTCCTGTCCCAGATGGGGCATTTTGGACTTGAAATGTTTGGTGAACAGTGAATAAGGTTAAAAGTCACAACTCCCTCAATTTGTGCGCAAGGATTGGAAATGATTCAAGACAAAAGATTCCTTTCTTTGTCCTGATTTCTTGAATGGTCAAGCATCGTAAATGAAATGAAATGAAATCCTGTATCCTACAGGCAATCACTGAGAACCACATCCACAAATCTCCTGCTATGATATCCTAATCCGAACCTTTCCCCCCCCCCTCCAACCTGATTCCATTTTCAGTGTCAAAGAACCAATTTTCCCATTCATTTTGCATCCCTTTATTTCTTTCCTCCACCGCCTTCTTCCTTATAATTTCCCTTTTTAAAAAATGTTTCCGCCTCTTGACATTGTCGGATGTTAGCAGGGAAGTTATAGGTACCGAAAATCCAATCTAGCAGCAACCAAAATTAAGTTAGATTCCTTCTTTCTGGGCTTGATTTGACCTTTGGAATTCAGTGCTTTTAGAAATTCTAACAGCGGATGAAGGCAACGTGGGAATTAAAAAGCTAGGTAAATTAATAAACCTTCGTAGAGGAAATATACTGCTAGGGGTGTCAGCGTAATATGTTAGTGATGCATTGTACAGTGGAGGAAAGGGAAAATGGAGAAGTTAACTGACCTTGTTATGAATTCCTTAAATGTCTGAATCTGTAGGATATTGGAACAGAAGGTATATTGGTTTGAAATATTGATGTTCCTTTACCTTCAGTGGAATTTGAAGGAACCTCCTTCATCTGGCATGGCAAGGATTTGGTTCCTCGTCTTCTCTTAAAGCACAGAGGCTGAAGTTCCCAGAATTCCAGCTAGTCTGGCCCATGGAATTCTGGGAGATCCCATCCCAGGTTGCCTCCATCCTCCATGAAGATGGAGGAGGAAGGAGGATAGAGGAGGTTGTAGAAACTGATCCAGCAGCTCACTTGTGTTAGCAAATTCACGTGTCCTCCATACCTTCCCATCAGCCTGGGACCCTTCAGCTCTGCATTATTTTTATTTCTCTCTTGAGAAACTTTTTTTTTTTACTTATTTCTAAGAACAGGCTGGGTTTTTTAAGATGAGACGTGTCTCTTTTCATCTGGTCTCTGTTGCAAGCCACTCCTGTCTCCTTTGGGGGAACCTGGGTTCTCCTTTCTCTGAAATGGTGACCTACTTTGTTTCAGAGTTGGTGGAAAGAGCAAAAACGTGGCCAGTTCCAGAAAGTTTAATTCTAGATGGTGGCAACTCAGATTTAAAACTAACATTTTGATCAGGTTATCAGGCCAAAGGTAGAGCTTAGTGGACCTTAAGAGGTTGGGGTTTGCAGTTTTCTTTTACACCTCTCTCCTTTCCACTCCATTCCTCGCCCCCCCTTGCTTTGTGCTTGGCTTTCTCCCTTCCTGCACATTACACAACAGACGACGTGTAAGGACTGGGTGTGTCACACTAATCACGGTTATGGCCACAACTGAGATGCTTGTAAAAAGAGGACTCTAAACAAGCTAACTAGCCACAGATGCAACCCACAAATGGAAGGGAGGCTTACTTAAAATTCATCTTTGGACTTCCCACAGTGACACAAGCTCAAAAACAGAATCTGAAATTGGCTACAGGCAACCCATATCTTGAAAGATGGTCTTAGAAACATCGGCCAGGCGGTTATCACAATTGATAGCTAATACAAGAAAGCAGGCTATGCCCTTCAACCTTGCTCCCGTCAATTCCTGCCAATTTTGACGAATGATGTGCCAATTGATTGCCCAAAGTTCCCCGTTACATGATCCCCACTTGTGTTTGCAGGGAGAAGTGGTGCCACATGACTCAAGAAGAACGGAACGACAGCCTCCGCTTTAACGAGAATATCACCTTTGGACAGTTGGGGTAGGTAGCAAAACCAGCCATGTTTTCAAATAACTGAAAAAAAGATGAGCTTTCTCAGCCTTCAAAGATTAGTCTCTTCTCTCTCTCTCTTCTCTCTTAAGACAGTAATTATTCTTTAAAGGCCTGCCATAAATCATACTGGAAACCTTCTCATCTCCAGTCTTCCAAATGCAATGTATCATTTGCGCTGCTCATTCTTGGGTGCTCCAAGGTGGCCTCCCACTTTTTTGGACTTCTGGAGGCCTAGACTTGTCTTCTGAGAATCCCAATAATGGGAATTGGACGTGCCTGGAAAAGTTTGATCTGGATCACCAGAACGAGCAGCAGATGGCTCAAGTGACTTGCTCTGACTTCTCTTTTACTTCTCTCGACCAGAACTTTCACTCATAACATGCTGGCTTTTGGGCTGAACAAGAAACTTTGCAACGATTTCTTGAAGAAGCAGGCAGTGATTGGCAACCTGGATGAAGGTAAGTGGGTCTGAGAGGGTCCAGGGGTCTTTGCTAAAGCCATGGACATCTTGGGGAAGGAGAAAGTGGGTAAGCAGTGTTTCTCAATCTGGGCACCTTGTGTGGACTTCACATCCCAGAATTCGCAGCCATCCTTGCAAGGAGTTGAAGTGCACACAAGGTGGAGAATCACTGCTCCATAGGTTGCTTCTGTGACACTTAAATGTCAACTTCAAGCGGACTTCAGTTCCCAGAATAGGATTTGAAGTCCACACATCTTCAGGTTGCCACAAAAAAAGCTGCTTTGGGGATTTAGATGCTCCCATTTTAGCTTTTTGCTTGCCTTAGACTGTCTGCTGCCCCCCAGATGTCTACCTCCCGTCCTTCACGTAACTGAAGCTGATCACAGTTGCAGCCCCAGACATCTGGAGGGCATCAGTCCAAGAAGAATGGTTTCAACATCAGGAGTGTGCAAAAGTAGCCCAAACTGTTTTGGAAAAGATGCTCCCTGTCGGTCAAATAACGGACAATTTGTGGTTCTCGCAACGCTGGTGACAGATGTTGTGGAACCGTTTTGGTCTAGTGCAAGGGTGTCCAACCTGGTCAACTTTAAGGCTTGTGGACTTCAACTGCCAGAATTCCCCAGCCAGCATAGCAATTAGTCCATAAATCTTGAAAGTTGGCAAGGTTGGACACGCTTGGTCTAGTACATTAGAGGGGAGAGGTGGAGGGAGAGGAATGTCTAGGGGTTTCCATTCTCTAGGGTGGAACCATTCCTGCTGATCTGGAGCTGCAAGCCTTTCTCCCCACTGCTGACTTGACCTGACCCGGCCTTTTCCTGAAGATCTCTGAGCTGCTTCTCCTTTGATTCTCCTTTCAGAGCAGTACAAGCTGCTGAGTGACCACATTGACCAAATGGCTGCTGAATAGCTCCACCACCTGCTTTGCTAGGACCAGGATGGAGAGGAGAGGCCGGTGGAGGCAAAAGGCTGTGAAACCCATCTCTGGGACCGTCTTGAGACTTCAGATGGGCTTTTAAACCCCCCTCCCCCAGACTCTGCAATACTCCTGCATGATGGCTATTAAACCGTGCCGTGCTGTGCTCAGCAGCCCGTAGACGTAGAGCTTGTCCATCCAAAGACACCGTCCTCTTCTGCAGCCTGAAGGACACCCAACTGCTTCCACAGACTCCTGTTCCGAGCCTCTGGGCGTGAGAGCTTTGGGCCAGGCTGAGGAGATTCCTCCGTACAAGGCAGGGAGAGTCATTGGGGACCAGGACAACAGGGCCTTTTGAGGAGGACTGGAAAAGCCCTCCACGCTTTATTGCAGAATATTTTAAGCAGCTAGAATATTTTTTTCAACAGCTGTGAAATTTAAAATAGGATGTCTGCACAAGTTGTGATGGAACGGAGAGGCAGATAAGATCTTTTAATTTTTCTGCAGAGCTGGTAATCCTGAAGAAAGGTATTTGTAGACCCAGAAGGCCTGGTACAAATCATCCTGATGGGGAGAGAAAGATATTTAAAGGTAGGCAGGAACTGAGCTGTGTAGTTTTGGACCCTAGGAAGCTGTGCAAGCCAACCAGGCCCAGATTCCTGGTTCCCTGGAGCAGTTCTGGGACCTCCTGTGTGGTTTCAGTGCAATATGTTCTGATGAACCTGATCTAGAGGATCAGGAGGAGTAAATGAGTAAATGAGAACAAATCCAACAGTGTGGCTGATGTGGTTGGTCAACTGGTTGACCAAGAGTGATTGATCCCATCTCTCTGGTTTGTCAACTTCATGGAGCTTTTGTCTGATTGGTCCACATGAAGTAGGTGGAGGGTTGTCTGTGAGCTACTGTCCTATTTCCACCATTCATGAACTTGAAGGCTTACATGGCAGCAACAAGCCATCTTGGGGGCAACAGAATGTTCTTCAACTTCCCATTTGGAGACGTTTCCTCTGTGCTGCTTCTCACACCTTTGATGGCCCACCTCTGGTTTGTGTCTGGTGTGTGTGTGTATGTTTCTAAGGACAGGTTGATGTTGGGTGTGTAGGGGAGTGTCTTTCGGCAGGATACTCCAACACAGACAGCGGAGACTTTTCTCCATTCACTTTGTGTGGCTGGATGGATGCTGGTTTCTCATTCTTTGGGAAAAGACATAGCTGCTAGCGAGCTGTTGGTTGATTTACAGAATCCACAAGAAAATCCATCTCTCCCTCTCCTTCTCTCTCCTTCTTTCTCCCTCTCCCTCTGTGTGTGTGTGTGTTATTCAGGAATGAGAGTGAGCCTTTATCTTAAATCTTGCAATGACCTGCAAATGTTGAGCCCCTGCAGTTCCCTTAGTCACCAGGAGAGGGCGCCAAGAGAATAGGTTTTGACATGCTTCCTCCTGTGTTCAGGAACGAATCCTTGCTAGATGTTGGTTGCTTATGTCGAATCTGCCCTAGAGCCTAAGTTGGGAGTGGTTGTGACTTCTACTGATAGAATTTTTGAATGCTCCCCTTATGCAACCCTCCACTTGTTAACCAGATCCTTTTCTGGTGGTTTCCAAAACAAGCAGCTTGCTGCATTTGGCAGCCCGTTCTTTGCCAGTAGTAGCTTCTGTTTATAGTTTTGCTCCAATCCCGGCTGGAAATCAAAGGGTTTGGAGCTAGGAGAGGCATCTGCAGGAGGCTCAGCACATCAGCATTCCACAAGGCTGGCTTTGGCTTTTCCTAATCCTGCAGAAAAAGCCCAAACCGCCACATCTGGAGAGAGGCCTCTGCTAATTCTTCTAGCTCAGCTTTTCTTCCACTTTGGGGAAGATGTCCAATTCTCCCAGCAGGCTAGCATCAACTTAACACACAGCGGAAACAACACATCGAGGGATGCATCAACAACTGACGATTGCAAAGGTGTTTCACACTGGGCAAAATGGCATCAAAACTCAACTCCCACTTGTAGACAATTGAAAATATGGAGTAGGATTTGAAGATGGCTTTGCATGGATTTCTCCCCGGTTCCTGCAAGCCACAGCAATCCAGGACATGGCCCCTATTCCATGAAGGCTGCAGGAGTCCCGTTCCTCTGATGTATATGGACCCATCTCCTTTTATACCTTAATCCTTCCAGGTCTCTCGTAAATTGTGCTCATGTGAATTTGTTTTTTCTTCTCCATTCCATTGTTAAATCTTGAAGATTTTTCTCTTTAAGGTGGGGGATGGCTGGAGAGCGGCACTGAATTAAACGTGAGCGAGGAGTCTGTGTTTCGCGGAATGCAAAGACTTAAGTCCAGATGTTTGCTTGCTTTTCTGAGGTTTGCTTTAAAGGCACGGGGAGGTAATTGCAGTGAAAAGTTTAAGGGACTTCTTGGAATGAAAAGGAAGATGGATCTGCAACAGATCCTGGGGTTTTTTTGTGTGTGTGTTTGTGTGTGGGGGGATGGTTGTTGCTAAATATGTAATTTCAGGACCTCCCTTCTCTTGTTTACCCTTTTAAAAAGCAAAAACCCAGAATTGCATATTGTATGTGTGTAAACCTGAGTGTCCCAGAGCGGCATTTCCATCTTGTGAGTTTCATTGAAGTTTTAAAACTGCTGTATTTGGTTGTGTAATATACATATATATGTATATAAAGTGTTCTGATGTATTGGGTGCAGTTGTGTGTGCCCCATATAAGAGTGCGACGTCATGTCCTATGTGAAATATTACTGTTTTTAACTTATGTACTGAAAACATTTCAAGTTCTGCTTACGACAGGATCAGGGAAAATAAAATAAAGCTTAAATAAGTAAATGAAACTACATCTTCACTCTTTCTCCCGCCCAGGATATGTTTATTCCAGATCCCGTCTTCTGTGCTATGCTCTCCTCTTTTTTAAAAAAATAAATGAAATACAAGTAATCCTTAACTTATAACCATTCATTTAGCCATCATTCACAGTTACAATGGCACTGAAAAAAAGTGACTTACGAAGGGTCCTCGCACTTATGAGAAAGGAGAGCCATAGGAAAAGAAATAGAAACAGATCTTTACAGTAGCTATAAATGCCTTTGAATTTTATCCACTTTCTCTGAGGTTAAACCATCACTGCTTTCTTTCCGTAATCATTGTCAACCTCACAAATCACGTCCAGCCTTCCTTTGCATTTCCCCTGCGGTCTTGACACTGGTGTGGAATCATAGATAGTGCTTGTCTACCGTGATTCCTTAGTCTTGAGCCAAGATCACTTTGTGCCTTGTCTCCGTGACCGAGTCTGACCACAGACGGTGCCCAGAAGTTAAAACGGCAGGTGAGTCAAAGCTGGAAACCTCGCTTCAGCTCCTAAGAAGCCACACCTGTGTTTGGTTACTACGGATACACCTGGGTTGACACAAAAGCAGATTCTCTACCTTGGTGTAGGCTCTCCTGATCTTCTTCCACCCACAGAGGATCAATCTGTGGGGAGTGACTAACCCCCATTGCAGGCGCCCTCCAAAATGCCAATTCTGAAAAGCTCTGTGTCCCTTTTTCTGCTGTTTCTCAATCCCCTGCAGTGCCCCACGCTGGGTCTAAGGAACGGGCCTGCCGCCTCCAGCCTTCCTGAAAAATGTGGGGCTCACCAATTCTTCAACCTTGAGACCGGCCAGTGCAGCTCCTGCACCCCAGAGCTGATCCCGAGTCCTGAGGGTGAGTGTGAACGGCTGGACGGAGGGCTGGGACAGGGAAAGGGGAGGATATGTCCAATGGGGAAAATGGCAATTTAGGAGCCATGTGGGGGAAAGCACTGGCCCTTGGAAAAATTCCACCGACTTTCCCTTTTGTGAAGAAGCTGCAGAAAAAGAAGCTTTAATGAGTTATTAGCCGTCGTGTTTACAGCCAGCAAAATGCCAGATCTGCAGAAAGGAGCGCATTGGTGCATCCCGAGGGTGCCCTTGGGGCTGTGCAGTGAGCATGAAATTATGTGCCACGGCTAATTGCAGACTTGCAGGGGAACGCTTTTGATTTGTGTCAGGATCCTGCTGCAATCTCATTCTTTCTTGCCTCCCCTTTCCTGCTACTTTTTCTTATGTAAAAACATTCACTCAGTAATAAGAGACACGTTTAGCTGTTCCTGTAGCTTGAGCCCCAAAGGGTTTTCTGTATATTCTGCAAGTGTACAAGTAGTCCTTTAGCAGCAAAAATTGGGACTGTCATTTCCATCGCTAAGCAAAATGGTCATAATCCCATGATCCTGACTCTGCTTTCCTTTCCTCCACTTGGAATGCTAACCCCACTGCTGGGATAATTCACGTGAAGAGAATTCATGTTTGTATTTACATTCATGGAGAGAAAGGGATTACAAGAGAGTAAGCAGGCACACAGTGGGGGATACCCATTGAAAGAATGCACTGGTGCCAGCAGCTGGTGTATTACAGATGTGCCATACAATGGTGTTTTTCAACCAACTTGAAGATGTGAGGACTTCAGCTCCCAGAATTCCTGATTCCTTTGAAATGCTAAAGTTCACCTACTCAGAATTGGCTGCCATCGATGTTTTGAGTGAACTCCTGAGATTTGTACAGCGAGCAGGTAGCTTCTAGAAGCACAGTCTTGATTCAGTTTTCCCCCTTCTAGGTTTGAGTTGTGTTTGCAAGCCTGGATTAAAAGAGTCAAGTGGAGAACCCCATCGTCTTCCATGCCCTGATTGCGTAAGAGCATATCTTTTTGGTTCTTTCTCGGGGATGCAGGCAGAAGCATTAACAAAATAACAGAGTTGGAAGGGAGCTTGAAGGTCTTCTAGTCCAGCCCCCTGTTCAAACAGGAAACCTTAGACCATTTCAGACAAATGGTTGTCCAATCTCTTCTTAAAAGCCTCCAGTGATGGAGCACCCACAACTTCTGGAAGCAAGTTGTTCCACTGTTTAATTGTTCTCACTGTCAGTAAATTTCTCCTTAGTTCTAGGTTGCTTCTCTCTTTGCTTAGTTTCCATCCATTGTTTCTTGTCCTGCGTTCAGGTGTTCTGGAGAATAAGTTGACCCCCACTTCTTTGTGGCAGCCCCTCAAATACTGGAAGACTGCTATCAAACATGGTCTTTCTCTCCCCTTCTCTACAGAGCAATGTCCCCCCTGGCACCCTCTGGGAATCTGAGTTTCTTGATGGGAGCTTCCTAGCATGTGAGGTGGGTAGATTTATGCTGCATCTCCTTGCTGTACCAAGTAGGGAGTTGATGGCTTTGATTTAATTTTTTTATTTATTGAAAAATTTCCCAGAAGAGAAAAAAGGGGGGAAATAGTGCAAGAAAAAAAAGGACAAAAAATCTATAATAATATATACGAATGACTTCTAACCTTCTTTTTACATGTCAGCATGCAGTTGTGGTATGCAAACCCTGGTAGGTAGCTCTGTGTGACCATATTTAACCCCCTTGCCAACTGGTTTGTTTTTTCTTTTTAATGGTTGCAACCTTGATGTGGGGTCCAGGATCCAGCAGAGGGAAACTAGTAACTTGTGAAAGGGTTTAATTTTACAAAGAGTTGCACCAAAATGGTCTGAAGTCCACCATTGTACCTGCTGTCCAGGCCTCAGTTACCTGCATCCAATGCTTTCTTTTACTCGCCTTAGAACACCTGCAATGCAACAGCTTGTCAAATGCTCACCAACATGGTCATCCTCAAAGCTTTCTCTTTGCAAACCAGGCCTTACGATCTTTACACCAAGGTCAAGTAAGTAACGCCAGCTCTGGTTTTCCAGCTCCAAGGGGTGGTGTCAAAAGTAACTCCGCTCCATCTGATTCCGACTCAGGTTTTGCCAAACAGAAACAGGAGGGGGATGTGTGAATTCCTAGGGAGGGGGGAGGCCACGGAATGCACGAGAGCCTTCTGTTGCCGGTGAGACATTATCCACCAAGGTCACGTTATGAGATACGTTGAGCGGTGCAGAGCTGCTTTCCCATAACAAGAGAACTGAACTTAATTGGCGATGGATGAACTCTGGGTGGCCCAGAGGGGAAAAAGGGGTTTTACCTATGGGAGTTTTTGTGGGAAAATCCCAGACTTTGCTTGTGCTGGGCCTAGATGGATCTTTCAATAAAGCTACACTCTTGGTCATTCTAAAGAGCCAGGAGTTTCTTTTGTCGAATGTGCAAAATGGGACGGTTGACAAGTGACATCTCAGAAAGCAGTGGGTGTCCTACACATCCTGCGAATGACACCCATGGTGCATCTCTGGTACAGTGACTTTGTGACGTCTCTCTGGCTTGTATCTGACCCCTGTGATCCCCTTGTCTCTTCAGAGGATCCAACTGGGCTTTGTGGAGCCTTTGTTTCCTGCAGGAACACCTGCCATCTTCTGCAAAGCATGAATGGATTTTCTTTTCAGGAGCCAAGACCTCCCAAAGGTTTGGTATGGGAGCAACACCAGACCTTTTCCTTCTGTGGCGTTTGGGAAGCACTTGAAGGCAAGTTGAAGCAGATCCAGAAAAGCTGTGCACGTGTCCTGTTCCTCCCCCAAATGTTTCCCAACACTGACCACTTTCAGATGGGTGGACTTCAACTCCCAGAATTCCCCAGCCAGCCTGAATAGCTGTGGCTGTTTCAACCAAACAGACATGTAGGCTCAGCTCAGTAGACCTTTGGACTAACTTGGTGAGCCAGGAAGAACTTCTTAAAATGCATGACCTAGTCCCATGGGATTGCTATTCTTTTCTACAGATTGACTTCAAGCTCATTCAGTACGATGTCTGGGGAAAGTTCCTGGGTTGGCAGGACGTAAAGGGAGCAACATTGCAGGTAAACAAATTACTTTCATCTTTAAATGTGGTCCCTGCAAGCGTCACTTCTCACAATGCCAGATGAAAACATAGACTAAGATTATCCCTTCTTCTGCTTTCTCTTTTCCCTTCCTTCCTTCCTTCCTTCCTTCCTTCCTTCCTTCCTTCCTTCCTTCCTTCCTTCCTTCCACAAAACCATTTAAAATACTTAAAAATGGCTGTATCATCTTTTCTCTTTGCTCCATTTAGCTCTGTCCGAACAGCCAGAAGGTCCTGGATGCAGCTTTCCTCTTGGGAACCACATACAGTCAGTCTGTAAGCAATGCCTCTGCTTCAGTTTAACCTGTGGAATTGGTTCTTGGTGGATAGGATCCCATTTTGGAGTTTGGAGAGAAGGCAGTATTGGGATCTAACCAGACACGTCACCAATAGGAGTGAGATTCTCTTGATTTAATCTTGGTGGCTTTCAGAGATATGGGTCCAACTGGTTACCCCAGCAGATCTTGAAGGTCATCAGCTGTTTCCATAGGTCATCTGCCAAATCCTAGGTTTTTAGTGGAAACCAGTTCTGAATAACAGATTGCACTCTATCCCAGTGATGGCGAACCTTTTAGAGACCGAGTGCCCCAAAACCGCCCCGCCCCCACCTTACGTCCCCATGCTGCCCCCTGCCTTGCTCCCCCCCCTGTTCTGCCCACCCGCAGGGCCACCCAGCAGCGTGGCCCAGCAGGTGGCCCAGCAGGTGGCCCAGCAGGTGGCCCAGCAGGTGGCCCAGCAGCGCCATGGCATGTAAAAGGAGCAACAGGTGGCCCAGCAGCGCCATGGCAGCTACACACATGCCCCGCAGCATCAACTACGCACAACGGGGTGCGAGGGCGTAGTCTTGTCCCTGCTGCCCGGCTGCCATGTCCTTGGCTGCGCTGCTCTGTGCACGCCATGCTCGGGGGCGACTCTCCTCCGGGGGAGCTGCTGATGAGGAGGGGGCCGCAGGGGGAAGTGGGGCTGAGGCGATGGCGCACGTGCCCACAGAGAGGGCTCTGAGTGCCGCCTCTGGCACGTGTGCCATAGGTTCGCCACCACTGGTCAACCCTGTATTTGGGGGCTTCTTTTCAAATGATTAACTGAATAGAGCAGCTCCAGACGTGTGGCCAGGAAAGGCAGCTGCACGGTTTCCACCTGGTCTTTACTTTTTGTAGTGCACCCTTGAAGTCTCTGCCCTGCTGCAAAGGACTCCAGAACCCATCTTCTATGAGATGTTTTTGCAGTTTGAAGATGAGAAGGGGAACGCCCAGCTATGGCCCATTCCTATAAGCAGTCCCACAATGGTAACAAACAATCAAGGTAAAGCAATCCTTCGGGGTTTTCTGGGCTAGATCAAAGGCATCATGGTCCTCAAATTGTCATTAAAATCTACATGATCCCTTAAGGCATTTGCTGGAGCCCTTTTTTGTTTCCTTATTTCTGGGAACTTGGCTTCATTCATTAATCTCGTCTTTCCCTTTTCCTCTTCTCTGAAGGCTGCAAAGTTTCCCTTCTCAAGCCCAGCCTTTTCCAACAATCCGTAGAAATGCAGACACCAATGTGCTTGCAACAAGCTTTGTCCGTCAATGCCATGTCTGGACGTACCTTTGGAGGTTCAGTTTTGCAGTTTCATTTCAGCCCCTGCAAATATCTTGACCCCTTCTGACCTTACCGATATTAAACAACTTCTCCAAAGCTGTTCTGCTCAGTTTTGTACACTGTGTTGAAAGTACAACTCCAGAATCTTTGCTAAAATTTTTCTCCCTGCATCTTGATTTGATGTTTAGCACCCCCACTGACTCAAGCACTCCGGAGATTCTTTCTGATCGATGGGCTATCAAGCAGAAAAGGGAATTTGTCAAATGCGCCAGAGTCTGTTACCCTGGCAAAGGATTTGATTCTCAGGTAAAAAAAACCACCATCTTCCGAGGCCTGATTAAGGGCAGAGGTTGCCGAGGGCTAACCACACTTTAAAAAGGACATTAATGTCTAGAGAAGAATCAGCAAGATGGCAGGAAAATCTGAGGAGGAACAGTTGAAGGTGTTGGGTAAGTTTAACCTGGAGAAGAGAAGATGGTGGGGAGACTGATGGCCATCTTCAAGCATCTGAAGGACTTTGGTGGAGCAGACAAGGTCAAATTGTTCCAGAAGACGGAACAGAAAGCAATGACCCAAATCACAGGGAAGCAGATTTTGGTTGGAAATTGGGAAGAATTTGGGAAGTCGTTGGGAAATAATAGCTGCTGGTGGACTCTCCTTCACTAGAAATGTGGGAGAGAATGGAGAAATGAAGGAAAAGGGGGGGGGAGAATACCTGCCTAGTTTGTAAAGTGAGCCTGTCCTTATTTTCTCTCAGATATTCTTTTGCATAGCAGTGAATACAAACGTCCACTGCATCGACCTAGCAGACATGTCACCTTGCTGGCACCCCAAATACCCCTGTGTCAGGAGCTGCCCAGAAGCTCAAGAGGCAGCGTTCATCTTAATGGCTTTCTCCTCCAGTTCTTCTCCAGCCCTCCTTCCCTCAGAACCAACCGCCATTCTTCTTCCTGGCTTTTGCAGTGTCCACCTTCCAACCACTGTTCCTGGGGAAGACCCACCTTTCTTCTTGACAGTCAGATATGCCACATACCCCCTCGCGGGAGCTGCCCGGGTGAGTCCATGTGGTGGGAATGGCCCCCGACTTTATAATCTGCAGGTCCAGAAGCAGAGGTGGATCTGCTCCCATTGCAGGTTGGGATGTGCGTGGATTTCTTCCTTCCCTTCACCCCTGGCTTCCACCTTTCCCAGCTCTTCAGCTTTGTGGACAATGTTATTTTGTCGCTTGATTTTACAGGTGTCATTTTCAGTCTCCTACATTCAGAGACCTGGATCAGCTCAGCTAGCAACGGATGTGAGTAAGCCCAGTGTGAGATTTTTTGGACTGTCTGTTGAACATTTAAGGGGTTTTTTTGGTTGATTTTGCTGCATAGACAAATGGTGGAAAGAAGATAAAAGCCATTTGAGCTGTAGAGAGTGGACATCATCCTACAATAAAACTGCTGGTCCTTAAGGTTCTGCAAAGGTCTTCATTGCAATAGGTCATGTTCTGTGAAGAGCATGTATTCTCCTCACTAAGAGAATGGCCCCATCTCTTTGGCAAAACAGCCCCACCAGGAAGATGCTTTCAACCCTTTTGCCCATATCACGTTTCCTCACCCTGTAGGCTTTCTAGAAAGCTTGGGTTTCTTCTAGAATTCTTCTAGAATTCTGGAACTTCTGGAATAGTCAGTGAGGCTGCGTTGTTTGTGGAATGCTGGTTGCTGAAGTCCACACATCTGGAAGGCCTCTAGCTTGAAGAAAGGCGATTGAACCATTTATTCTTTTAATCCGCTTGTTCCCAAAACATGCTTTTGGAGGTTTTAGGGATGGTCTTGCATATCCAAAATAGCTTAATTTATGTCAAGACATTCTGCATATTTCCCATTCTGCTGGGAATGACACACACATTGTCTGTGCACAGATTGCCTTTGGGGTCCTGGGGTTCCTCGCTGTCCTCTATGCTTTGTTGGAAACCAGCAGCTGGGCCCGGCGATCTCGTCTGCAAAATATCGGTTTCACGGTAAGGGCGAAATTCACCTTTTGATCTTGAGCTTCTGGGAAATGGGTCACCTCTCAGAATTTGGGACTTCACTGGGGACACCAGCTGTGTTTGCTTAGACTTTGCCAGATGTTTAAAACAAAGAAACATGATGGTACAAAATTGCTTTTTCTTCACACCGGCCTCCCTTGATTCAGATTTTTATTCCCGTTAAATTTTTTATTTTATTTTCAGACCATATTGAAATTCTTTGCTTGCTTGGTTGGCTCTCTGGCAAATGTCTTTTTCATGGTCACCTTGGGAATTGGCATTTACTGGCTGATCGTTTTCAAGGTAAAGTAAGGATCCGTGGAGGTGTGCGCAGGTGTTCATGCACCCAGTGTTCCATTGGTTTATTTTTAATTATTTTTAGTGAATCTTGCATTTATGGCTTTGGTACACAGATTGGGGCTTCCTTCTTTAAGAGGAAGGGAATTCTGCTAACAACAAGAATAATAATAATGTTTGTGCTGAGGGATATAGAGCCTCACAAGCAGAAAGATCTCATCTGTTTTGCCTTTTCTTCTATAGGGTCAGCAGTTTTCTACTGTGGAAATTACACTCCCAGCTGCTGGTAGCCAAGCAGAAACCAACTTTATAATCTATGCGTTGTGTGCTCTGATTTTGAAGGTAAGAGGTTGGAAAGAGCTTGCGTGGAAGACCCGGTGTCTTTGGGGCATTATGTCTTGGAGAACTTTCATTTTCTAGAGCAGTCTTCCTCAACCTTGGCAAGCTTAAGACGTGTGGACTTCAGCTCCCAGAATTCAACTCCCATGGCTGGCTGGGGAATTCTGGGAGTTGAAGTCCACACGTCTTAATCTTGCCAAGGTTGAGAAACGCTGCTGGAGTGCTTTTAAAGCTGGCTGGCTGGGACTTCCCCACAAGAAAATTGGAGAGGATGACATGGTGACTTTTGTCATGCAAATCTACAATTCAGGATGGCTGCAGGCAACCTTCATATTCGGATCAAAACTGAGTTGTTTTTTTTACCTTTTCCATCAAGCCATATTTTACGATGCGTTGTCTGGAACTGCAGTAGCCTGAGAACTGACTAACAGATGAAAAATCCCAATGATTTTACAAGGTGGAAAAAAAAGCATCTCATAATAGAGAACCCCCTCCACCACGGCTTAATTCTTTGTGGCGCTGTTGATTTTATTTGCCCTTCTTAACTTCTGCCAAGTCCAGCTTAATTCTCGACGGCCGCGTGGCAGTTGTGTCATGTTGTTTTCTTGGCAACAGTTGAAAGTAACTGATCCTTGTCCTCTTCAAGGACAGAACCCTCTACTACCTGTTGCCAGGATTGCTCAGCTGCCATGCCCATAATCTGACCCAAGGGGAAGGGGTTTAGTGCTCAGGGAGACCCGGGCCCTTGTGCAAATTTCCATTGGCTTAGTGTTAGGCATTTGAGTTGAACATGAGCTCTGCTCCTCTTTGGAAGATACTCAGGGTGTAGGATTTGCAAATCACTGTAAGAGAGGTCACGTTCTTAAGCTCTGCAGAGGGTATCTCCATATCCCAGAGACAAAATTCCCTGTGGATGCTTTTGTTCCAGAGCCTGGATCTCCTACATCTGCTAATCACCCAGCTAACGGTCTCCATTTTCCTGATCGACTGGGAGAAGCCGAAGGACAAACCAACAATGAAAGGTTATCATTTATCATTGCTTTGGTTGTATCCTGTTCATTTTATGGGTGATCCAAAGAGAGCGTAGTCTCGTCTTCCTCCTTTGGTGAACAAATCTCCAGCAGAAAGATCTGCTCGTATCACCTGGGGTTTCTCCTGCTGATGGAGCGAGAAGGTCTGACCCAGGACACCTGCTCTTATCCTGAATAAAAGATTTCCCCAAAGACCCAAAGCTTTGGCTTGCTTCCAAACAAGGGCAGTGTTACATCACACAACTGTTTGGTGGTATCACTCGTGCGACTGGCCACACTACTAGATCATCCCAACGGCTGCTGGGAAACCAGCAGAGGAGCAAGCAGTGGGCTTCAGGTTGAGAACACCAGCCCTGCCCTGCTGGATTGGATCCTTGGCCAGCTGTTCTTCCAGGGGCCAACCAAGGGGGCCTCCTCTCATGAAGGCAAGAGCCATGAATTTCTCCAACCCTTTTGGGAAGCCAACCAAGCTGCATCGTGCTGTTGGAGAGGCAGACGAGCATACAGCAAAAGCACCAGGAGTCTCCAGAGTGCCAAGCTTTGCGATTGGTCAAAAAACATCGGAGAGGCGCGTGCAGAGGCCACCAATAAAGCTCATTGTTTGTTTGCTTGCTTGTGCATCCCCCCCTCTCCACCCCACCCTGTTCCAGGAGGTCCAGCCTCGTCAGTGAGTGCCTGGAGGACTTTTCTGATCGCTAATGAGTGGAATGAAATCCAGACACACAGGAAGGTGCATCCTTCGCTTCAGCTGTTTGCGGTTTTGTTGGTTTTGGAGGTCAGTGCAAGACCCAGGAGGGCCCACTGATTTCTGTCAGCAGCCCTGAGAAAGATTCTGCAGGCAGGCAGACATCTGCTGGTCTGGAGAGTGAGCTGGACGAGAGACAGGGACAAAAAGTTGGAATCTCATCTTGACGGCAGAAGCTCCTGTTCTCACTGGTCTGTTCTGGTGGCTTTTCTTCTCCATCCTCTTAGGAAAATCCTGGGTGGGCCAACAGCCCATTTCTCCTTCAGGTCCTTGTCCAATCCCCTTGGGAAGCCACCTAAAATAAAACCCTAACTTGATTTCCTTTCCTAGCCCAACATTTTCAGCACAAACTGTATAGTTGTGGACTATTAATCTCATGTTACAGTTAAGAATGAGAACACTCACCCACCCAGTGAGCCACAGATGAAGAGAAGGTGTCTCCATGTGGGAGTGATGTTGGCTTCTTTTCATCCACAGGTGGTGGGGCTAAAAAACCTCGCATCAAGAGACCTGAATGTCACTCTGCAGCCTGAGCCAAATACTTACCAAGCTCCCTGGAGCCCAATTCTTCGTTTTGGGATTGCCGCTTCTGTTTGGCTGGTGGTGGCCATTGTGCAGGTTCTCCTCTCCTCCCCTCCCCTCTGCTCCCCTCCCCTCCAAAAAGACAAAGAGAATATTTCCAAATCATGCTGTTGCAGAAAAAAGTGCTCCATTCCATGTAAAACAATGTCTCCCCTCTTCAGAAGCCTTTTCTATCTCCACCAAGAAAATAAATAGCACCTAGCATGAAGAATGGATGATAGATGATGGCCTAACCATGTTCAAGAGTTGGAAATGTTGAGGAAAAAAATAGGTCTCACTCTACTTTCCTAAATTCTGTCTATTCGCTCCTTTGTTCACCTTTCATGCAGCATTTTCATGATGCAAAAGATATTCTTAGGTGGTATTTCAACATGCATTGACTTGTTCCAATTGATTGGAAGAAGCCACCAGGATGTTTGCAAAAAGGATCTCTGGATTCTTGTGGGAAGTTGACCTGCCTTGCAGTTCCTCAGGGATGCTTGGTTCTGTTCCAGATGTTGGTGTCCGTTGGGTTATATCAACGTTTTGTGGAGGACAAGATTCATCAGTTCATTGATCTTTGTTCCTTGAGCAATGTGAGTCACACTCATGCACCAGATTGTCTGTTCTCCAACTTGGAGACTTAGATTCCCAGGGCTCCCCTGTCAGCATGGCCATTGCTGACAATCCTGAGAGCAAAAATGCACACACATCTGGATGAGAAGATCTGAGCTGAAACTAGATTCTGGATTCTTCTTTTCTGCGCTTCTCTTACCCATTCCTTCCTTAGAGCTACTTTCTTTTCCACCTTTTAGGGTCAGATCTCAGCTCAGACAAAGATTTGCAACCTATTTTTACATTTCTAAAAAAAGCAGGCAGTTATAATGTAGTGCAACTATTAATAATGCGGTAATAATGAGGGCATGGGGAGTTCCAGCTGAACAAGCCATTTCATAATTGGGGGCTCCCACCCCCATGTATGCAGTGCGAGGCTAATTTGCCCTTCAGCATGTCTTAATTTGCACTTTTTAAATGGCCGAACGTTCATTAAGAAATTATTTCATTTTTTAAGCCAGTTTCAGCTGATTTGTGGCTGCTTTTAATTGCTTACCTGAGGGATTCTGATGCAAGTTTTAGGCTTTGCTCTGAGCCATTTTTAAAAACATTTACATTGCTTTATAGGCTGGTTTTTAAAAGGTGTTCCAAGCCAACCTGGGGGGAAATGTGTTAATTCTTAAAATAAGCCAGATGCATTTGAAAGTGTCCTTGTTTCCCTGTAATATGAACCTTTCTTTGTAATCCCTGCAGGTATCTGTGTTCATCTTGACACACAGGTGTTACGGATTCTACATCCATGGGAGAAGCGTCCACGGACATGCTGATGTGAGCTTGGACACAATGCTCTCTTATCTCAGGAAAGAGGAGGTAACCCTAGCTTCTGGTCTTTGGTCCTTCACCATGTGGCGTGGAGGCTTCTCTTTCTAACAGACCCTTGTGGGACTGTGTCATTGTCTTGGGCCCTTCTCAAGGTGAATGTGGCTGGAGGTTACCTGCAGCTTGGTCCTTCAGTTGAAGACAGGTGGTCTTCTCCTTGCTCCTTGCTTTTCGCCTTCTAACAACGGGAAGGATTCATTTGTGGTCCCACTCCATATAAGTGTTCAAAGAGAATACCCAACCTGTTAGCATTCTTGCCTCATGCTTCTTCTCACCATCAGAGCCATCATAACAGCGAGCAACGGTTGACCTCCGTGAATTTATCTTGCTCTTCCAAAGTGACCGAATTGGGGCTTCTTGGTAGCCATCAGGATGTAGCAAGGAGTTGGGAAGAGGAACCGTTCTCTTCTCTGAAACACCAGCTCCAGTGTGGTTGTCTTCTCAGCCAAAGTGTTGATTCCAGAAAACATCTGGGTTTATTCTCCTCCTCCTCCTCCTCCTCCTCCTCCTCCTCCTCCTCCT